CTTTTATTCAGTCTTGCTGTGTTATCTCCCCTTCAGGTCTGTCTCCTTTTCTTTCCATCCTTGATACGAACAGCCAGGCCATAGAATGTCCCTGTGTAGTCTAGTTTTGATTGAAGTTGCCTCTAAACATGCACAGACACACAATCACACACCCCACAGCAAGACTTAGTGGCTAGAGATGGGCATAGATAGCAGCTTTACACTGATCTGATTTATTGCGGCCAGGGGAAGGTAACACTGTGGCATCGATGATCCTCCTGCAAACTCCATAAGGAGTCAAAAAAGTCAGGACTGGAAGCTCTGCACAGCTCAGTCTGAGTGAGTGTGTGTGTCCCATGCAGACGGCATCCCGTCACCTCGGGGAAGACAGAGATAAGCGTATTGTAAGGGCTGAGATAAGATGGGAGCAGACACTGGGGAGACTGACTGACTGTAAGTGAGTCACTGTGAGGAGGACAGCAGGGTTGTAGCTTCTCACACAAACAAACCAAAGTCTGCCAGAGACTTTGAAGTCCCCAAATGTGCTTAACATACATGACAGTATGGACATGCCAGTGTATTCTGAAGCAGAGATCAGGTTCCTATTGTAGGGAGTAATATTTTAAACCAGTTGTGAAATGCCAAATAAAACACAAGTGACTTACTAAGTAGCAGAACAGATCTGAATACTACATCATCACTGTGATCCGGAAAGATTTGGGTTGTATTTAATTGGATCTAAATCTGACCATAAGGATGGTGAAGTATAAACTGGATTGGTATGAATCCAATTTGAACCAAATTGGATTCAATCTAACTGTATGGTGCCCTGTGTGTGTCTTGAGATGACATGAATTGTCACTAAATGAATAAACTACACACACACTGCTGTTCATAAGACATTGGATTTACCGGGGAACAGGAAATACTGATCTCCATCTAGGAGATGTAGGGTGTAATTTCTTTCAAATTTCAGTTTCTTGCCTAAATATAGACAGTTTTTTTATGTTTTTTTTTTTTTTAACACAACTGATGTTTTCACCCATATGTAGGTCTATTTTGTTTATTTTTTGGGTTAAGGAGCAGAACCAGATATCATATCTCTGTAACTCAGAGTGTAATATTGATACAAATACATCATTCTGCTGATGTTGATACTTTTTTAATCTTTTTATTTAGAGAAATATGTACATGGCTACATGTGTAGGTTTAGAATGAGTAAATATGATTTTTTTAAAGAAAATGTTCATTTCCTTTTAAAGATGGGGTCTTAGCGCTGTCAATCAACCTTGTGTATTCACTGCTCATAGTGTACCTTTTGCTCTCTGCTATGCAATGCAAATCATACAAGCCTGAGCAAGGTCAACGGTGACAGAGGACAAACAGTTTTCCTGTAATGATAACTTGTTTCTCTGCCATTAACACTATCAGCAGCATGTACATGAGGATTATTGACAGCGCTAAGATCCTCCTCCCTGCTCTGACTGGTTACCTACAAGGTTTAATTCATTAACCTGTATGTATTTAATACATGTTAATATATTTATCTGTGAACTTTAATTTATTATACCTTTTTTAATAAACAAATTAGACAAATTAGATTGTGGTTCTTAAATTTTAGCCAAATTTTACATAATATGTTTAATTAATTAACCTACATGTATCAAATAAATATTCATATATTTATTCAATTTATTGTATCCTTTTTATATAAAGTAACATATTTTTAAAAGATAGGTTTGGTTTGGCAGTATTAAACACATTTTGTAAGGGTAAAATGTCTCTATTAATAAATAGGTTGTTGATTCTGATCAAACAGGCTCTATACTGTCCTGTACTAGTAAATTAACTTTGATGAGTTGACATGATATTAAAGTTCTAAAGAGAACCAAATAATAATGGAGTTACATTTCTCCACAGTCTCAAACACTGCAGTTAGCATCACCTAAACACACAGTGTGCTGAGGCTAAAGTTTAGCCTTTAGCCTTTAGAACATGCTCAAAGATGTTCTAAAGCTAAGAAAGAGCTGAATATGAGTGATCCACTCTTAATGGAATCCAACTAGTCAAAATGTGATTGGAAGAGCTGGAGCTGGAAGAAGTATTAGTGCAAACTGCTGCTGGTATGCCACACACAGGCAGCTTCTTCAAGGGGTGAGACAAAAGAGATGTGTGGTGTGATAAGAGTCGGCGCCATGGCAGAGGCAGGACACAACACAGAAGCCTCCCTTCACACAGTCTCACACTCATTTACACACGCGCGCGCAGCGATAAGCATCACCTCCATCCCTCGGCCTACCTCTGTCACTGACTGGAGACAGAAAAACCACAGATATGATTCTCAGAGGATGAAATGAGGTACATGGAGGTGGAAGAATAACAGTAGAGCTGGGTTAGGATCTGGAAGGGCCACAGTGACAGGTGGCTGTGGCAAAAGCTCTTCTTCTCAAAAGCTGACATCTAGCATCTCCAGTGAGGCCTTAAATCTGCTGTCATCAGTCTTCTGAGAAGATTTTGATCTCAAATAAATCTGCCACAAACACTGCCAACTTTTGAAAGACAGACAGTGGCGCAGGACAAAAGAAACTATCTGACGTCCAACTATTTGTGACACACCTATTTGTGACACAGGCTCTCAGTATTTTTGACACCTGGGGGAAGAAACCAGTAGTAGCTCTGTGTCAGCATGAGGCCAAATCAGATGAGAGAAGCATCTGTGACAAGACAGCAGATAAAAGCACAGACGCCACAGGCACTCCTCTGTCGCCCTGACACGCCAGACAACGGGTCACAATGTCACGCAATAGGTGATAACTCCTTCGCCACTAAATAGTGATCACTGTGCGTACACTTGAAACATACCATACACTTTCTGAAGTTAAGCATTATATTTTGGGAGTAAAAGGCATATCTTGATCATCTTCCGATTAGACTGCATTTATGTTTTAACTCAAAGCTTATTTTTTCACATTAAAGGTAAAGACAGAATAAAAAAAAAACCCTCAATCAAAATACAAAGTAGAAATATGAGAGAAAGTGTGAGACTCAAAAACTAATGATAAAGTAAACTAAATACAGGAACCAAAACATGGCTGATGTATGTCTGGTACCTGCTCTGTCTGCTGACACAGATTATGGCCTTCAAGTAAATTTTATTCATAACTGGCATAACAGGATATAAATAGGAAAATAGCTTAACTTGAATTCCTCACTGCGGATGATACAATCTCAAAAGAAGGTCTTGGTGTTCGCAAAATAAGAGCTGGCTCAATTCCAGTAGCATTGCAGAGGAATCATCTGGTTGACTGAAGGAAGAAGACCTTCAGAATCAGAGAGGCATTTAAACATGAAGTCAGAGGAAGTACAAAAGCTTTATGATGACACTGTATTTTCTACGGAGGCATGTTAGCTTTCATTCTGCAGCTACAGCCGGCAGGTATCTGCTCACTTTGTTTCTTCCACAATTCACTGAAGCTATGGTTGTTTTAGACTTGACTGGCTCTGGTCAAAAAGGGGTTGTTTGACAGTCTGCCTTGGGTTTGACTTGTCCAACTGATGAAGAGCTGACTTCAGTAGATACCATGGAGGCTGTGCAAATTACAACAAAGTTGCTCTGCTTTGTTGCTTTCACCTTCTACTTGTCATCACCCATATCAAACAATTGTGAGATAAGAGATAAGAGTCTGCATTCTGCAGGGAATACCTACAGAGACTTGTGTTTGCAGTTAGTAATGCTAAGTGAACTAATCGCTAATTCAAGAGGTTAACGTCAACCACTAATAATTCTGCTTTTGCTTTAAATGATTAAAAACCTGTTTTTCAGTAAACTGTACTGATGCTGCGGCGGCAGCGTCTCGGTTAGTATGTGTTACCCAGAAAGCAGTTGGGCACAATATCGCAACACCAACACCATGAGTCAAACAATGACTGGAGCAGCCTAACATATAAAGTACTCGGGGACCACATCTTGATCCCTATCAAGAAGTGAACCGATAGCGTCCCATATCGGTTCAATACGGGACGCTACATTTAACAGCGAAATACGGGACGGTTCCGTATTTTATGGGACGGGTGTCACGCAACAACGGGTCTGTATAGCTATAGTGACATTTGCTGTGGAGTTGATTGACATATTTTATAATACAGATCCTTTGCATGTTGTCCAAATGTTGCCATTTAACTTTGAAAATACTTTACTAATCAATTTCCGGTATATACTGTACAAATATGTAAAACAGTGAGAAAGAAAGAAATTATGTCATGAGATTTGAGTTATTTGGGCTCCTTACATCTAAAGATTTCTAAGCCATTTCTTTTAAAGTCAGAAATTGGTCATATAAAAAGTTTTATATGACTTTTTATATATAAAAAGCTTAGGTAAATAGTAAACAGTATGATCACAATGACAAAATTTATCTTTGGAGGAGTCACAGAGAGGTTGACCTATCAAGTGCCGTGGAGCTTATTGGATGGAAATGATACTAAAGGATGAAGGATTTTCATCATCTACCTATCAGTGATTAGATAGTAAAAACTTGGATACTTGCTGGGTTTTCCAGCATGACAATGATCCTAAACATAAATCAGAACAGATTTTATAATATGTAAACAGTTTAACATTAGGCTTATCAATGCATTCTTCCAAGCAGCTGATTTACACCAACTCTTTCGTGTGTGTGAAGATGAGAACAAGTATTGACCCAGAAACATGCCAGAAACTTGTTGATGACTACAAATTGATAAGAAACTTTACATCTGCATGTACATATTTAGGTTTCTATTTACAATGTTGCCTCTGGACAGATTCCAAAAAATTATGTAGCATGATCAATTATTATGACACCCGTGTTGATTAAAATGTGTTACACTCTCTCATTCTTTCATCACAAACAACTCCGACAGCATCTATTGATGAGAGCGACGGGATACACAGGTGTGAAACAAAATGAAGGTGATACAGAAAGTAAGACTAGATGAAACCAACCACAGTAAACCAGGAAGGAGCAGGACCAAACTAAAAATCAAATGATGGACCCCGGATCAGAAAAGACAGGAAGCTTCCTACCTGAGCCGGCATCCATGATGTTGGTTTGTCCTCTGCGGTCGGTCAGCAGCCGAGATGAACCGGGCATGCTGACTGGCTCGGAGCGTACTGGCTGGATTCTGAACAAAAACATTCATAGCATTTACACATACGACATGTCTGACATCCAGCTGCTCAGTTTTATACAGATGTGTTTAAAGTATTATGTAGTTTGAGATGACAGTTTCTTCTTCAAGCTCAGGTGCTATGATGTGAAATTAAAATGCTTCTCTTGAATTATCTATTTTTTTAATCTTTGAAATTTTATTGATGTAACTCTTTGGTGTATAACTTTGATTTTTGTGTTTTTAGGATGTCAAGCACTTTGAACTTTGAACACTTTGTTGTTGAAATGAAATAAATTTGATTGATTGCTTGATGAAACAACACGTTTAACTGATTCATTTAAAATATGTTAATTGATTAATCAACATATGTTAATTAGTGATTAAGTTTGTCCTCATTAGAGATGTAATGTTATCCTGTGATATTAAAACATCACAATATTAGATGATGTCTGTTACCCAGTTGGTGTTAGCATACGACTTCATCTGGAGCAGAAAGGCAAGTTATTATTTTATTATTTGACACCCCAGATCATGAGATCAGTGGTGATAGATTGACTTTATTCTTGCAACTTTATTGGAGACAATTATTATCATTCAATCAGTCGGGTTTTTATAGCACATTTCAGCAACAAGGCAGTTCATAGTGCCATACATCACAAAAACACAAAAATAAAATCTCATTACAAAACAAAATATAGTCGCCAATTGAAAAACCAGAAGCAAACATTACATTTTGTTGAGGGCAATCATCAAAATCATCAAAACACATCATATATGTTGGTAAATGTTCCATTTATTATCGTATAAAAGTAGCTCTTGATCTATGAACTCAGCTGAAGAATTAAATGAAGTAGTTTTTGTTGCCTTATGTTTTTTCACAGTCTGACCATTAGTTTTCTGTTACCGCTGGTCACTCACAACAATTGGGCATCCGATGCAAGAGAAACACTGACAAAGTGATTAACAAGTTTTGAATGATTTTAAGCACTGGCATATCTAACACAACTGAAGTTAGTGAATAGCAGTTTCCCTTCATCTCCACAGTAAAGGATTTTTCACTAATTGAGACTGTTTTTGATCATCTGCAGGTCAAACTGAAATACATGGAATGGTCCAACTTGTACTGATTAATTCTATATTAGACAAAGATTATTTATAACCCACTTAGAGGTTTAAGAAATCTTTATACTAGATTCAAAAATGTAAAAGAAAGAGCATTTTCATCCTGTTTTACCATTAGGACTGAGTTCAATTAAGACAAGCATGATAACTCGTCCTATCTGGACTAAAATTTTCCACACAGATTACAAAGCCCTTCTGAAACCTTCAATGTATTTGTGAAAACCAAAAGAAATAAGGAATTTTTTTTATCTTCTGCTAAAATACTGTTAAAATGGCATTGTATCCCATCGTGTTAGAAACAATATTGTGTTTCGTCTTGTGTTTGTGAGCAATTTCTACCATTACACCATTACAAAATATGCTCAGTGGTTTTAATATACCGAAGACTGCGTAGATCCAGGTCATCTGTGTCAAAGTCCAAAAGTGGCTGCTGTACATCGGAGGGGCCGTGGGACTGGAGCACTGAGGATGATGAGGAGATGACTGTGGTCTGACCTGATGAGTGAATCGTCTTGAACTGGAACTGGGGGCCCATCCACAGGCGACGGTGGGGACCAGTATGGGTCACTATCTCCACCTGTGAATATCAGAGAGGTAACATCATAATCATTACATCACATCAGACCCTTCACTGCACAGCACACTGGTCAGAGCTGCTGGGAAACTGTGGATTATCCTTTAAAAATCCCCAGTGCAACTCAGAGCAAACTCTATTAGGGCTGAAATAATTAATCAGATTTATTGTGATATATTGATTGCTTAAATAATTGTTAACTAATTTAGTAATTGAATAATCATCCATTGGAATATATAGGCTCTAAAAATACAATGTGATGAAGAACAACACACTCAGAGCATTATTTCAGCCAAAACTGTTCCAAAAGTATATACATTTTTCACTTGAGAGCAAAAAAAACCTTTGTAAATATGTTTAACCCAGACAAAATCTATCTATCTATCTATCTATCTATCTATCTGTCTGTCTGTCTGTCTGTCTGTCTGTCTGTCTGTCTGTCTGTCTGTCTAAAGTCAATCAGAAAGCCCTGAGCTTTTCACGTTGATCTTAGAAGGACTGTTTGTAGCTGCAGGTGGATCCTTTGCAACAAATGATTAACAGTTCAGTAAAGGAAGGCTGTTATTGCTTATAGACAATAATGTTTATTTACTTTATAAAAAAGAATTTAGTTTATTTGCATCATTCTAATATCATATAAATAAAATATTGTATAAAATAAATTGGTAAATAAAGTGGTTTAATGAAATATGCCAATTCTCTTTTCTGTCTTTTCTGACTATCAAAATAATAAGAGTAACTGGTTATTAAAATAACCATTAGTTGCAGCCCTAAACTCTATGTTTAATAAAGCTAAAAACTACTGCATCTATTTAATAGCACACTATCCTCTGTGCCATTTGTAATGCTTTAAAATGCTTTGTCCTAAGCATTTTAAAATGCCAAGGACACTTAGGATATAGTTTTAATACTTAAGACTATAAAACTAAAATTACGTTCAAACCCTATAAAACAAAGCAGCCAACAGAAGCTTCCAGAGGCGATCATCTTCCTGGGCTTTAGACTATTTGGGCAGTCTAATTTTGCGCTTCAATATGTTGAGAAAATACCTCATTGCCTGACACACAGTGTCCCTGAAAAACACTGCTTTTATAAAGAGAATCAAATGCATAAGTCATTCAAAGCATACATCAACCACAACATTATGATGACTTGCTGTGGTATCTGCCATCAAGCTGCACCTTTCTAACAGAACAAATATCTGCAGTAATTTAAGCTACAATTGGATTTCTTCCCCTTTAAGCACATTTTGTTTCCTATGTATTTCAGTGACCTAGACCACTTGGGACCCTGTCACTGATTCACTACTGTTCTTTTCTTGGCACATCCAACAAGTGCTGCAGTTTTAGAGATGATCTTGCCCCTTTGTCTTGCCAATGCTAGCCATCTCATGTCTTAACTCTCATTCCTAGTTCTGGTTACAGAACAATGATTCTGGATCAGAACAATGTTCACTTTCTGCCTAATATATTTCACCCACTCAGGTTGTCATGCTGTTAGATAAACTGTATTGTAGTAGTCATAACGTTTTGTTTAATGCTTGAGGACATTACAATAAAATAAAAGGATACTTTACACATTTAGATATTGTTTGGCACTCAAATCCAACACCAAAGCAATTTGGATCCATAAAATTCTTGTGTTCATGGCGAAAGGTTGTAGTGTTTTCTTTAAGAGGATATTATGAATTATGAGTAACTTTATCTGTCAATTTTCACGACGCTATGGCTTATCAGTATATATTCAATATGCTGGAAATGAGTCACCAGCCTGAAACTGTGTTTTATTAAACAGAACACATTCAAACTTCAGCCGTTGTAATGTGCTGTATGTCTACCCCTCCCCATCACATTAGAACTGACAGATAATAAATAACGACCCCTGATGGACTCTGTCAGGACAGAAGGTTTTGTTGTCTACTGACAGCCAACTTAAGAGCAACTGACAATGATGGGCAGGAAAAGGCTCCACACAGCAGCCTGCTGAGGCACTCACACTGAGGGTCACAAACCTCACATTCCATTAGGGGACGGCTGATCAATCCTAAATCTCGAGGGACAGGAACACAGTTAGTTTACTCTGTTTATCCTAATTCACTGACAGTCTCAAAGCATCCACAAAAGGTTTTAACAAGTAACCCTGGAAACATGCAAGGGTAAAAAGACTTGTACCATGATATCTTCTACTGATGCATGCAGGCCTACAGCTACTCTGACAGGAAGTTGCTCAAATACAGGCTAGTGCAACGGATAGTTCTGCTCCTGGCAAACTATCATAGCAGACATAAACCAGAGTCTACGCAAGCTAAGTGGGTTGCATTTTAGCCAATCAATTATGCATGCATTGGAATTATTGATGGTGAAAATGTAGTGGGTTACCTGCCGACATGAGCGACAAGGCCTGTGAGAGTTAACCAAGCTGAAAAGACCAGGGTGAATGTGCCAGATTTCTCAGTCCTTTAGGAAAAAAATTGTGAACTGGTTGATGTATTCCTTAGGATGTTTGTAACTACTCTGAATACGATATTAGAAAGAAAATTTAAACATTTAATTACAACATATTAAGGTAAAAATAGATTATGGCGAATACATACAGCTTCCTTCAAGATTTTCACTGAAATAGCTTTAAAGTTTAGTATGTAGTAGTAGTTCAAATGAAAAGTAAGGCATGTTCTTTTACATGCAGTATAAAGTTCTTCCTTTAAAATCTAAGGAAAGAACAAACTCCATATAGCTCGAATTCTTTAAGTTCCTTATCCTCAGTGGGAGAAGGAACAGATAGTGTATGTTCCTGAAAGCTAAATAAAGGACAACCATATCGTACCTGACATGTGAGAAGTGATGGAACTGTCTGCTTGTTCAACCTTTACAGAGCGTTGCTGGGTGAGGCAAAAGCTTTACCTGAGAGAGCCATTCTTCATCGTCTTGGCCACTGTGGTCTGATGCCAAGCTGTCGGATGACTCATGACGTGTGATTGGACCCGGGCTGCAGGGAGGAATCCCTGAAGAATAAGAATAAGAATAAGAATAAGAATAAGAATAAGAGTAAGAAGAAGAAGAAGAAGAAGAAGAAGAAGAAAAAGAAGAAGAAGGGGAGAAAATAAAACATGCATAAACAACCATGAGTTGCTGGGGGAGACGTGTTAGTACAGATAAATTATTAAATATTATCATATTCACAATAGTATTTCAATTCAATCTGGGGAGATGTACTGGGGAGGGTTGTGAAAAAATGTATGATCCAAGTGGGAGCGTGATAGAAAATAAATGAGAAAAACTGCCTTACATTAAGAGAAACAAAACATTTTGACTGATTTCTGGCAATGTGATTGTGATAATGATTCAAAGTGCAATCCAGTCGTTCCAAAATGCTTTGCAGCGGGAAAAACTGTGTGGCACACTGTGTAACTTTAAACAAACTAAGTTTTTGTTGGACAGTTCAGGTTGTTTGTAGGTTATTGTTTAGTGATTAAGTGCAATATAATTAACTTCGAACACTTATTTACTTAGAAACTGTAGTTTGCACAGGTACAACGTGAACATTTAACTCTATCACAGTACAGTCATATTATCAGCTCAGGCAAAGCTGTAGGAGTTCACTTGAAGTGACTATATCAGTCTTATTAACAGACTGAATGCTAAAAAAAACAGCTATGTTGGGATTGGAATCATTAGCTATGTTTCCATTCAATCACCAGGCAAATTTGGACCAAAAGCATGACTGTTGTGCCAACTGCTCTGTAGTAGTTTGTGCTGTAAAGACCTGGAGACCTGCCCAGAGCGTGTCCTGCCTCTCACCCAATAACCACTGGAGACAGACACCAGCCCTACCATAGTGGTGGATTCAGCTGATGCATGGATGGACTATATGTATCAAAATGTTTCAATGATTTTTTTGGTAAATAGAAACCACCAGAATGTGTGTGATTAATTTTTTGTTGTCACATATATTTCAATGAGACTTGGGCATAATCTCATTATTACTTAATTTTCAGTTGGATTAAAAACTATTTCCTCCATCAGTGAGCTGCAGCACATTCGGTCCAAATCAAAATCAGCAGGTCAGCACAAATGAAAGAAACGGAGATCAGTTTTGACATCCAAGATGCCAGACTGTTGAAGCTCTACATCCTAATATAACCTACAAATTATCCTGCTTCTCCATCCCACTTTAAATTATTAGCAAACAAAAGCCTTTGAAATGTGAAATGATTTAATAATGTTTCAGTTTGTATTTTTGTTTGAGAAACATTTTAACATATGTAATAAAGGTCACATTTCTCTGGTCTCATTTATAGATTTATTTATAGATTGACATATATCCAAGTGCATGCTTGTTATTTTATTGACTTTAATGAATTAATTATTTTATATTTAAATTAGAACATCAGAAATATATACGTATATATTTTTTATACATTTTATAACACTCATTGTTTACTAACACCTTAACGGAGTAGCTTGTCACCTAATAAAGTCTATTCCATTCTATTCTATTCAGAACAAGATGACACTCCAAAAACAGCTATTCTTAATTCTCATATTCAATAAAATCAATAAAAAAAGACATGGAGTAGATTTTAGATAAAAAAAGAAATATATAACAAACCATTTTTATTTACTGTACAACTATCAGGTTTAGAAGGAAAAGGCTGTCAAGCAAGTTATAAACTTACAGTGTTATTAGAGCTTGATATATAGAGCCAGTACAGACACCTAAGATTGATGGGTTTCTTAGATAAACTACCATTGAAATCACATGGCTGACTGCATGAGAGCTAATGTTTGGGCTGAGAGTCAAAGGAAAGGAAAAAGTACAATTCTTTGTTTGTTTTCATCTCCAACAGGCATATGACTGTGTGTGTAAAAAGGCAAATGTACAGTAAAGTGTGAAAAGGCGAAGCAGAGAGAGTGACAGAGAGACCCAGAGACAGATGGGACTCCTGCAGGCTTGAATAAGCAGGCATGGAGAATGAGCTCTAATGTGTGGAATCAGTCGTCTCTCCATCTCCCACCACAGGGATGGGGTTTGTTTAACACAAGAATGGCTAATAAACTTGTCAAGTCCACATCTGGAGCACAGGAGGCACCCCTGTCTATCCCCTCACACATGTGCCAGGTGGTCACACACACCCTTAATGGAGGCACTACGGTGTTTGACACCTCTGCAGTGAATGTCACATCATCGCTGATTCACACATCAACCCAACACACTCACACATGTCCCGATGGAATTAGAAGGTCTGGCCTCATTCGCTGTGTGAATAATTGAAAAAAGAACTGTGTAGCTACTCAACAGTGAAAGTGGTGGTGCTTGATCCTTTTACAGACAAAGAAAGAGATAAAAGACTTGTCTAATGTGATGGCAAGAACAAATGCAGAAATACTATTCTAGGAAATGAAATGGGTTGACTGAAGACCTTAAAGGGGAAGTATTATATGCATTTCAGGCATATATTGCCATTTTATAGCACAATCAAGTAACTATCTTCAGTTGTTATAAAAATGCTGGATATGTAACACATGAATCAAAAGAAATGTAACTTTGCAATTGAACTCTTTGAGAAATGGATCTATGTCTGATCTTTCCGACACTCCGCCTTCAGCACGTCATCACAACAACAACCCTCCATTAAGCCTTTAACAACATTTTAATCAGATGTAGATCCTATGATAAGCTCAGGGAACTCGCAGTTCCACCAGATGTTTGTTAATTTCTGCTGCCGCTAGTCTGGAGGAACTGAATGGGTGAGGTGATGGGTGCTCTGTGCAGCGGAAGCTTGGATGGAGACTGCAGCTCTGAGGAGGAGCTTAATGGAAAAGTCAGTGCCTGGTGAGACCAAGCATATCTGCCATCAGAATGGCTACAAGGAGAGAGAAAAGGATTCCTCAAACATGCATAAAAAAATAAAAGCAACACTCCAAGTATGTTTTTGATGAGAGATTAATACTATTAATACTAACATGATGTAAAGCTCAAAAATGTTGATATATTTTCAAGTGGCAGTATTATGTGCGTCTATAAAATATGAAAAGTGTTCATGGATAGAAAAGAAAATAAAAACAAGAAGAAAAGTTACATAGACAGAGTAGATCAATATATGTCCCAAAGCTGTTAAAAAAATCTGGTAATGTCTAGCATACTTATTATTTACTTATATTGGTTCTTTTAAGAAACACAAAAACAAACCTAACTCCCACTGAAGCAATTATTAATATCAGTAGGAGTCAGTAATCAAATCATCTGATCATTAATCACCATTCATAACTGTCCTTGCTCTTCAATTCAGCTGAGTTTAATTACCTAGCACCTACTCATAACATGTCTCAAGCCACTAACAGGAAGAAATATTCAATATATTAGATCATGAACAAATTTCTTCTTTCCTTTTAAGCAGTATCTCAGCAGGCCCTGACTACTTCACTGGGAAGCTTCATCACTAAAGGGCCACATGAGGTTGTAGATAGTGGTGAACCAATAAATTGGCCAGCTGATAGATCAGCCCCAGTTATCTCAGTTTTCGAATATCGGTCATTGGTCGATACTGAGATGTGAATTTGATTTTATCCACTGATCTTATCAACTTTGGCAAAGGTCTAAAAATCAGCCACTGTACTCTTCTGCTCTGTTATGAGAGAATCTGACTGACAGACCTGCCCAGGTGGAATCTGTATGTTCACAGTTAACATTAGGCACCCTACTGATGCCAACTCAGCGACTTTCTTGCTATATTTAGCAACATTTCAGACAAAATAAAAAAAAAATCAGTATAAGCGAAAATTAGAATCACTAGGTCAGGCTTTTTGAAGATCAATAATTGGTGATTGGCCAGAATACTTCAATCAGTGCAACCTTAGTTGTGATGCACTACAGCAAAACCAGGAACAAATCACTAGAGCAGTAATGGAAAAAAAGACCCCCCCAAAAACCATAAATTTCCAAGAAAACAGTGATTTTTGACAAATATACCAGCTGAAGTCATGAAGACACCACCCCATGTTTTATATAGGAAAAACTGTTTGAATTCAACTTGGTCACAGAGCAAATCTGAGCCATTTCAGGTTCTAGGGGAAACTTGTTACTGAAACATACTGTCTTTGTTTGGCTATTCATAAGCTTCTGTTATTAGTTTCGTACTATAAGGTGCACCTTTGACAGGGAAACATTGCTACTTATTGCCACTACAACATTTGAGGAAGACAGACGGCGAAACAGAGAATATCCAGAACTATAGTAGCGGTATGAGAGAAGAGAATTTTCTACATTTGGCATCACATTTAACACATTCCATCCTTCAGAAGTTTCTTTAGTGATTAATGCAACATACTACAAAAGTAACAACTATATCCAGGTGTGCAATACCACAATCTCAAAAATGTTATAGATTTTATAAAACACTACAGTTCAAGTAAATGAAAATTCTGTATACAAATAATTTTTTTGACCGATCTTGCCCAAGATGACCATATTTGATGAATACTTTTTGTGCAAGAGCTCACATAGGGTGGTAGGGGCATTGCAGAAAAGAGAAATAAAGAATATCTAAATTACAATAGGTAATTAATATAATTATAATTGATGTCCTCATCACAATCTTATCAATAATACAAATAATATCAGTGACATATTTTCCAAATTGTTATTATATTTTATATATATATATTTTATATTTGTAAATGAACATGCCACTTTTCACTGCTTTGGAAATGTGAAGATTGTATCATCTCAACAACTAAACATGGCTGAATGTGACATGTTATCTTTCTAAGTATCTAATTATATTGCCAGATCTCAATGTTTATTTCTGTCTGCAGGATAATTGAACGTGAAATTGTTAGTGGCAATAGTTTGGCATCTACAGCCCAGAAATAAAATGATGCCATTACATGAATAGTTTTATACTTGTTTATAGACCATAGTCCCCATTTAATATGTTTTCTATAGCTAAAGCAAGAGCAGACAGAAAAAAGTTCAAGGGCAAATAGACTGAAAATCCTCAGCAATTAAAACCAGAATGATTGTAATGAAAAGTTTGCTTAAATTCAATTTATTTTAATATTGATTTGAATGGAAAATCTTACAAATGCACTTCTATATTGAGATAGAGATTCAGTCCATGAGAGGATGAGCAAGCACTCTTATGAAGATAGGGCAGAGCGAGTGGAAAAAATGGCAGAGAAGGCTAGCTGATTTAAAAAAAAAACAACAAAAAAAAACAAAACAAAACAAAAAAACAAGAGAGAAGAACTAAGCTTTTATATTGTTACTTATTAAACAAAATCAGCATTCCCTGATAACCTCCATCCTCCTACTTGGGCTCTCCGACTTTCACCATCCCTATTTTTTCCTTTGCTCTGTGACCCCTGAGGCCAATAGCTGTTCCCAAATTAATTATTGATGCTCTGAAGCATTTGGTGGGATGGCTGGATCGGGTTTCAACTAGGTGGGTTAGTAAGGTTTGTCAACAGTGAGGTGTATGTCAGCATGCTGCAACTCCCTGCCTGCCACAACACATTCAAACAACGTACTCTCTCTCTCTCTCTCTCTCTCTCTCTCTCTCTCTCTATATATATATATATATATATATATATATATATATATATATATATATTAAATGAAGAAAATATGGCCATTTTAAGGTTGGTCTGTTTAATGTTTAAGCCCAAAGAAATCCAGATGTAATTACTTATTTTAGGTGTTACATCTACTAGATGCTGTTGGTCAGTGTGGTGTGCACCACTGCTCACCGTCATATCGCACTGAGTACAGCCGAAGCATTGCAGCCCCAGGCGGGACAGGCCCACACATATGAGCCAGTGGTGTACTATGCATCTTAGCAGTAAACAAAATAAACAATAAAAGTTGTTTTGGAAATCAAATGGGAGTTAGTCATACAGTCACCTAAAAATGAAGGAATACATTTTTATTTCCACATTTATTATCACAATAGTACAGCACAATATCATGATCAAATTTCAAGTCCACACTGCCCACCCCTAACTGTATTATTCAGTTTTTTAATATAATTTTGAATCGACTTATGATAAAAACTAAAATGATTTTTAACATTTTCACAAATGGTTGCACTTAACATGATTAAAAAAAGAGTCAGAGGACAAAATCCAAAAGAATGCAGAAATTTGAATCAATAAACAAGCCAACACTGGTCTAGGCTGTCTTATTCCTCGACTCTTAATGCTGTAGCAAAGCCAACAATCAGATGCTTGTTTTCACTGTCAGAAGACTAAATAAAGCTACAATTATAAAGTAAATTAGAAAAACAAATACTAAATAACCTGAAAACACCTTAATGCTTCTGACAGTTTAAACTCAGAGGAGCTTGAGGTGGATTTTCTACAACTGCCAACCATCTCCTGATGGGAACCATTGTGATGTAGAAACCTGTCGTTTGATGCTGGGATTATGTTTATACCCACATAAAGCATGATGTGAGCTCCAGTCTACTGTCGAGGGACAGAGATGTCTCTGACACACTCTTTATTGACTGTGCAGTAAGTGGTGTTTTGCTGGGCTGAAAGCTGGTAGCCAGTGGCCTGTTAACCGGAGCAGTGAAGCAGGGAGTCAGAACAAGAACAAAGGCTGCCTAGATATTGATGTAGCCCAGCCTGCTGGGGCCAGGGGGCTGGGGGCCCGGGGCCGGACAGGGTGATCTCTAGAGATAGATAAGGAGCTAACAACCTGATAGATCTGCAGAGCTGGCTGCATAGCAAACAGAGGTGAGCTGTCTTGTCTCGGTTACCTGCTCTCTCCATTTCTCCACTTTCTATCTTTCATGAGCAATCTTCAAATCTTTACTGTACTTGTTTGCCAGACATGTCTGGCTTGGCTCAGTCAACTGCTCCACCTGTCCTGCTTCTCACTTTCCTCGTTTGAGAAGTCTTGTGGCAGACAGGTGCTGGCATGGTGACAGAGTGGAATAGCTTAGTCATTATATATCATTCAAGGTGTATTTGACTGACAGTTACTTCATTCAGCCAAGCACTGCACTTACCCCATCCTTTCTCTGTCTCTCTTTGATTACTGACCCAGTCATGGCGCCAGGGTTTCTCTTTACCAAACGCCTGATGCTCCAAAGCCTTCACTCTGGCCCCTTTCTCAGAGCAATTAGATCTATTGACAAGGCAAATGTGGCTGGGCTGTCATGGGCCTCAAAGTCCTAAGAGAGCTGCCAAGCAAGCCAGCCAGTCAGCCAGCCAGTCTCCACAATTAGCACATTAAATGACAGAGTAGTAAGCCTGTGGCCATAAAGCATAACCTCTGTTTCTGCCACCATCAGGAGCCAGGCAGAAACTCAGGTGGTAAATTATTCACTGGTTTGTTTGCTCTGGAGCAAAGTTTGTCATGAGGGGAAGAGGTGTCTGAACACATGCTGTGGACTGACGGGTAAATATTCATGAGCAAAAATAATCCTTAGAGAAAAGTTTGTATGAAAAAAAGACATTCTTGGACAAAGGATGACTTATTCAGAATCTCCTAATATTCAGTTGTGACACCTGAAGTTTAAAAAAAAAAATGTAATTGCCATAAAGGAGAGTCTTTAATTGCATACATGAATCTCACGAATAAACAGGAGAAACTTCCTGGAACACTAAAAAGCTGCCCCAAGCCTGCCAGATTGTAGTGCTGGATCTCATCTCCTTTTGAGTGTACAGTGTGTCTCTCTTGTTTCCTTATCTCTTCAAAGATTTGCTGTGCCTTGCCATCCTCTGCAGGGCTGAGTGCTGCCAGTAGCTGCTACAGATGGACAGGTGGAGATAGTGACCATGAAGTGGCGCCACTGGTGTCTTTTATCTTCCCGTCCTCCAGGCTCCGGTCTGGTCTGACCCTGGGCCTTCCTCTCCTCCTCCCTTCCTATTCCTTTTTTCTTACAAGCTGCATTTTTAATCAGGCTGGGTCATCCAATATAGAGCCATGAGACTGGAGACTACGGCCTGTCAATCAGAAGCTGCCAACGTTTTACCTTCCACAGACAATCTGAAAAGATGTGTCTGCAGCACAATTAGGTTCAGGGCAGATTTATCGGCACTTTGACTCACCAGTACTCCAGCTTCTTAGCTGTAAAATGTTCCTGTTTTCTTGTTTGTTCCTACAATACAGCATAATGTAATGATTGCTGACCAATGCAAATCTGACCTAGATAGCACAATTTGTTCTGCAAGTTAGAACAGTGTCTTTTCTGTTTCTTTTCAACGTACTAATCCGTATGCTCAGCAAGAGGCACTTGGACAAGCAACTTATGGTGCTGCTGTAATTCCTCCTAAGGTCAAATTGACTCTTTCTCCTGGATCACTTCTCAGCTAGGCTGCCAAGCCCTGGAGGGAGCAGCAGAGGAGAGAGCTGGCAAGGGGACACATGCTGAGAAACAGGATGCTGAGAGTCTCTTTCTGGGTGCAAAGCGCAGAAATGGAAGGTGGCAGTCCAAGAGAAACTCGGTTGTTGGTGGTGTATAGGATGCAGACCCAAAGGGTAAATGGCAAGAGAGCAGGAAATGCGTAGGGGGTTGAACAATTATGTTTATAACATCTTGACCTCACATTGCTTCACACTTGGTTGACCATGGGAGTAAAGAGCCACAGTGGTTTTATCCGGCTATTGTTAATTGGATGTAAATGTTAATGCAATGAATCTCTCTCATTATGCAGCCAGTTTCAATACTCATGCTGGCACAGAATGGTGGAAAAAGCTGACGCCCGAGCCCGTCACTCCAACGCGTTCTCATTGCTCTGACACTACGAGAGACCATTACCACTAATTTGACAAAATATCCTACCAGTAAGACCTGAAGCACTGCAGTACTCAATGGGTATGAGTCGAAAGATTTGTGTACAGCTACAACTTGGCCTGGGGAGCCTACTAAAACTAATTAAACATTTTGAATGCTTATAATTATGGAGTGAGCTCAAAACGCCATCCTATTCCTGTGGGGGTGGATTGAATCTGTGCGTGGCCATCCGTGCTACATGACCTCTAAGACAGCAAACCACAGACCTCACTGCTCAGCACTTGTTACTGAATATGAGGGAATTTAGGGTGTCAGCTAATTGGTTCGAATGTGGCATTATGAAGGAATTGCCACAGGATGTATTCATGGTTGATTGATCTTCCATCTGACTAACTCGGGTCTAACTACAATGGTTTCTCCTCAGCATGTGGCATCGAGAACACACTGGAAACTGGCTTTCAACAACACATATACAAGGTTACATTCACCAAAGCTAAACAAAACATACAAACCTGACAGTTATCTAAGTCAAATCCTGATGTTGTTTAGGGAATGTATACTGTATCTCAATTTTGCCCAAAAAGGACCACAGTTGTTGCAAAGGATGCATTCTGAATCTTAAAACAGCAATAAATATTAAAACAATGAAACAAAACTGGATTTCAGTCATTCGCTTGGCAATGAAGGAGTCTTTGTAAAAAGAACAACTGTGAAACCTACCAGCGAGGAGATACTGATAGTACTGAACCAGATCTGAGGCCAGCACCAGTGGGTGGTTGGAGATGAAAGGTGGCTGCAACTCGTTCCACTGCGGAGTCCTACATGAGAAATGCCATAATCCAACATGAATCCATAGAAACAAGATTCTAACACATTTTGGAAGAGAAAGTGGAAAATAAGCTGTTACCTGGCTAAGTTCCAGCATGCTCTGGGAGAGGTGCTCAGCTCCAGCGGAGTCTCGTCGCTAATCTTTTGTGCAGTGCTAATTGGCCGAGGCTCCAGGACATGCTCCACCACATTACCATAGCAACTGATTATGTACAGTGAGTCCACAACCGACTGCCTGGTCTGATCTGTGACAATGTTGTGAAGCAAAGCCATGAATAACACACAACAGACATGTGAAACGTTCTGGTCAATTTCTATAGCACCGATTCCCAATAAATGTCATCTCAAGGCACTTTGCAAATAACAATTTCAATTCAACCATATATACATTCTAATGGATCTTAGTTACCAAGAAGCACAATAAGCTCAAAAGTAGTTTAAAAAGTGTCTGTCTATGGAGGCTAAAACTGTCCTGTGCAACCTGGGTTTGATTCAATTCATACCTTTCTCTCTCTTCATGTTTGGATTCGTGAGGAACCAGGAGCGGGACGAGGCAAAGATGGCAGCAACGCAGAACTCTCCTCCACTGGACTTGCTCGGAGAGATCTGGGGGGGTGGTTTAGCTTTGCTTCAAGAGGAAGAAAGAATTGAGAAGTTTAGCCAGTGTAAGGGAAATACAAGTCCTTATGAATCTAACAGTTTAACAAAAATGTTACTGTTATTTTTTTTATTGCAGGAAAGTATTTTGTTTTCAAAACGCTGAAATGTCATATGGAGTTAATTTCAACTGAACAGTATTATCTGAACTGTTGCATTACACTCTGTTCTCATTGGGAACCCAAGTTGGGCCCTTTGACTCCTTTAAAATATAATGGATTATGACCACAAATAAAACAAAGGTATCTCTAAATGGTAGATATCATTTTCTGGGCTCCAGTAACCATGGTTCCTTACTGTAGACATTTGATTGAATACAGAAAAATAGTGTAAATTATTGATTGTCAAAGTGGATTCCATATCCTGATCAGATGAAACATCCTGTGGCCTCATTTCATATCCAAAACTTTAAAAATATAGCATGGAGAAGGGGTGGAATAACCTACAGCCTAATGACAATCTGCATTTATCCCAAGATTACATGAAATACAGGACAAATGTAAAAGACGGCCTGCAATGCCAAAAGAGAGATTTAAAAATAAATGAATAAAGCATGTTGGCAAGTATGTGGGAGGTGCAGAGTCACAGTAGTAATAGTTTACCATGAAAGGAAGGAGCAGGGGAAAATGAAAAAGTCTCTAAGAACTAAGACACATTTTTTGGATGACTATTTTCTGACAGTAAATTTACATAAGTGGAAATAAAATATGAAAAATGCAAAAACAAAAAAACACACAAAAAAAAAAGGAAAACAAAAAAGAGAGACTGGCATGCATGGAGGAAAAATAACTTTTTCATTTTTAGCAAAACTGCAGAAAAGAAGCTGAGAAGATTTTCTGTTTCTACCACCTTTCAAAATCTAGGCATTTTTCTTCACAGAACAGCTCCTGCTCAGTTAGATAAGATGAAGAATTTGTACGTATCTATTTCCAAGTCCAACAGCAGAACAACAAACTGGTTCTCCCACTTTAGATGGAGATCTCTGCAACCAACTTATCAGGGTTCCTAACCAGTGGCATGTTAGAGGCAGGAGCCCAAGTGGATAAAAAGGACAGATTGTACAGCACAAGGACTGCTGGCTGCTTTAGTAATGTGAGATTTTTTTTTATACAAGCATCATGTATATATACCTATTTCAAATCATATGCGGTCTTGAGCCACACATAAACTGAAACAAAAAAAACAAAACAACAAAAAACAACAACAACAACAACAACAACAATAAAAAAAACAAGATTTCAGAAGTGTTTTTCTTGTCCAGAGGAAAAACGTCAGGTGCTCTAGCACCTCCTTGTGTTTATCTGTTCCTACCTATTTTATTTATTTCCTACCCATTATTTTCAGTTTATTGCTCTCCCTGCCCAGTCTGACAGTTATGGTTTGGTTACAGGTATACTATTTTTTTTTTTTTCTGTTTTCTGAAAATGGATTGAACAAAGATCTGTGACATTAAACTTCTCCACATCTTTCTCCTTGACCTGTCTGCTGTTTTTCTTGCTTCCTCAATGATGCTCTTTGTTCTCTAAAAAAAGAGAAAGGTTTATTCCAAGAATAAATGATTAACAGGTGAACTAATTCTGTGACTTTTGAGGGAATTTGTTGTGTTGGGTTTTCTTTGGGAGTAGAATAGTAAAAAGGGAGAAAGCATGCATACCACTCTTTTGTTAAAAATGAACAATGAAGAACCCCCCTGACAGCCCTGCAGTACTTTGTGTTCTATCACAAAATAATTCCTTACAAAAAGCTTTGAAGGCTACTTGTAAAATGACAGAATCTGCTTTTACAAGATGCTGTACAGACATGTATCTTAGCCTAAAGATCTTACCTGAAAGTACAAGACCTACAGCAGCAAAAGGGGAAAAAGGTGAGGAGTCGGGACTCCAACCCGCTCTGGTTATCACTGAAGGCCCCGCACCTCACAAACACATCCAAGCTGCGTAACTTGTTTTACTTTGGGACAAATTTATTAGGAAGCTATTTGATTATTTAGCATGTCAGGACCGCTTCAGAGAAAGTGTACTTTCAACGGGACGCCCATATGGTTGCAATCAAACAACAGTAGGAAGATCTGGTATTACTGTGTGGCCTTAGAACAAATTCGAACAGTGAAACGTGTTTGCTGCTGATCAGTCTAGAAGTGGACTATCTGGTGTTACACTCTTCCTCACCTCTGCTCAACTCTGGCCTTTGAATAGAACACTATAATAAAAACAATGCATTATTGTTTTCATTATAACACTAATGAAAACAACATTGTGACTTTCAGTCCTTGAGTGACTGACAGTTACTCAAGGACTTACTAAAATAATTGAAAACATGTAGTTGACAACTGTACCACATGCAGATAATAAATGTACCTGAAGATCTTCTTTATCTTCTTTTGGTGTAAGTAGTAGCAAAAACTAACTGTAAGTATAAACAAATTGTTTAATTTTATTATAAATTATTATAAATTAAACAAAGATGGAGGCAAAAAGAGGGTAGTTCATTTTGGTTTTCAGTACCCATTTACTAAATCAAAATCAAATAAAATTTTATTTGTATAGCACATTTCAGCAGCAAGGCATATCAAAGTGCTTTACATCATTAAACACAAAAACACAGAGTCATGTAACATTGAATAAACAATCAAAAACATTAAATTTCCTTCCGAGTCGAAGTTCTGCCCTTCGAATCGGCAGAAAAAAAACAAACAAAAAAAAGACAGTGGGGGTGAGGGGGACTCCAACCTGCACCCTTTTTAAAACAACAGGGGGGATTCCAACCCGCACCCCTTTTCTTCCTAGCGCTTGAACCCGGGTTGGGATTCAAATCCCAATTGTTGCTTATGTTCCATAAACAACTCTTAATAGGTGGGTTTTAAGTTGAGATTTAAAGGCACTCAGTGCTTCAGCTCTTTTACAGTTTTCTGTGATTCAATGTGCTTTTTATGTTTTCCTTCAGATTAGTGTTGGTTCTCCATCAAGCATTGATGTATTGAAGGCAGAGTCCTTTGTAGGGTAAAATTTCCTGAATTTTAAAGTTGAATTAGGTAAAATAAATTGTTTTGAGCTTTAGATCATGTTATGTTAGCCCCTTAACAAAAACCTACCTGGAGTGTTGCTTTGGTTCATTCATGTATGTTTGAGGAATCCTTGAATTTCCCATGACAAACATTCAGGGGTGCCTAAACGCTTCCTGTCACAAAACTCAGCTTATTTCCACAACGCTCCACCCATTTTGACAAAGCTCCTTCTTGGAGATGCAGTCTCTAGGTGAGCATCTGCCTCACAGAGCACCGTTTCCCTGTGTGGGATCCCATATCCTCACACTGGATTTGCCACAAGGCTGCCATGCTAATCAAAACAAAACCCTACTGTGAGCAGAGGAGTTACACTGAGAGTGAGAACTGAGCACCAAAAGGGAAAAAAGTGAGAAGTCGGCTCCCTCACTCTCTCTTTGTCTCTCTCCAATTCTCAAATGTCGTGCTGCTTGCTACGCTGTCATGTTGCCTGGAAAATACATAATAAGGCCACTTTAAATACTGATTTTTTTAACAACATTTGGGTATATCATTGCACAACATCAGATATTCTGGGACAAATGTTTTTGTGCATATACTCAACTACATCAAGTGTGTTCAGTATCTGCACAGTGCTCAAACCAAACAGCTGTTTCCTTTGTTCTGAAGTGAGGTTCGAGTAAACAAACATTAGAACTTAATAAAAGATGGAATGAAACCTTAAGGTGAACAATAATCCCAGGAGGTGGAGAAAGTGTGTCTAATCGTTGAAGGGACATTCACAATTCAGGACGCTGAAAGAGCAGTTGCTAGTAAAAGTCTCTTTCTGCTACCTCCCTACAGACTGTCAGCACCTCATAAATTACTCCCTGGATACAAGGGGAAGTTGATGCCTTTGTTTGCCTGCTGTATGAAAGAGGGATCTGGAAAAATGAAGTAGTGATGGTAGTCCCAGGAAAGATCACGATACAAGATTTAGGCTTTCATTTATTAGTGCTGGCCAAGAGAAGATGGATGAATAACCTCATATCCATAGTAAGCCTTGTCTATAACAGGAAGACAGGGAAAGAGAGGAAGTTGAACTCAGGATATTGCTCTGGCTGACTCTAGTTTGTTCATGTCCTCTCCTTCAGGCTCTTCCTCAGTTCCAGTTTTGCTTCAAAGCATCCAGAGGACAAAACATTTTGTAAACCGGCCGAGACGGGCGCTCTCTAGCTGTAAAATACTAAAGTTTTAGTTTTTTTTTTAATTATTATTATTATTATTTTTACCTCTAAAGGCCTACTTTACTTTCTCAGTATTTTTAATCAATTCAGGCCAATATCTAAACATTTATACAGCAGAAAATCTAAAAGGAAGTATGAGGAAAACTAAACATAGTCAATGTGTGGCATGTGTCAAAACAGCTTAAAAATTTGAGAATCACAGTACATTACAATGGAAATAGGTACACATACATACAATTGGAAATCAGCATAAGAAAACCAGGAATCTCCTCTAACAGGGCAACTAAACATCATATTCATGACTTTGGGACCAAGTTATTTTTTTGGCAGAGTTCATTTTCTAAAAACCAGCTGTTCCATTTCTTTTATTTCTGGAAAATATGTTAAACCCTCAAAGGCTGTGTGGTTCGCTGGTTTCTATAACCCATGGTACACAAATCAGCTCATGTCGGGTTCAAGGCTCAGGAGGTCAGAAACTGGGGAATATTCCGCATATGGACTTAGAATTTGGACTGGACGATATTTTGAAATGATCAGAAGATGTAAATGCTCACAATGTAAACTCAGAAATTAAAGTTAGGTCTTCTTAAGGAGCTTGACAAATGGTTGAATATATGAAAGCCCAATAAATACAAAACATGTATGGAGTACCAGAGCTTAGTAATTGGAGGAATTCATGATATACTGACCAATATTACAACCACATCTAATGTATATATACATAAATAATCACACAATGTATATACTTAGAAGTCTCCAAAGCAGGCTATAACACTGGCTCCCTACTGTGGTTTCATAGCCTCTTTGAAGAGCCCTCAGCTAACACCAAGCCTGCCAACAGGAGTAAAGATCACAGCTTGGTTCCCTTCTCATCTGGGTAGAGTGGCCACTAAAATGCATTCATCTGCATTTTAAATCATACGTTTGCTCTTGATCTCACTGGAAGTGGCTTGAGCGTGTTGAGGTTTCTGCCCTTGTGACTAAAAAGTGCAGCTCCAGGGCTTCATTCTCCTCTCCGTATGGAACATACGGTTTATGAAGTACGCCACTGGTGCGGTAATGGGTAAGCCAACAGCTCAAAGTTACAAAAAATGTAACTCAATATCGGTAAATTAGGAACATAAATATATACTGCGAGAGAACTCGGTGCAGAGGGAACCAGATGTTTCTAAACAAACGGCTAATCTTTCTGTTCGTCCTCCTTCCTTTTGTAGCATGGACTTTAGAGGGAAGGCAAATCTTTTTTTTTTTCTTTGCAACTTGAATTCACTGAAAAGACTACTCACATGTCGTTTCCACTTTTAATTTCACAAATGAGGCCTCTTGACTGAGCTAATAGCTTTTCCTCTGGGGCATAATTCAATCTGCGACATCAACCATCAAAGTCCCTTCGCATTACTATGTCCGGAGCTAACATGAGGCGCCGCTCAGGAGGAGCGGGGGGTGCACGACTGCATGTCCAGTGGCAGCCTTCATTTATTTTCAGAGTCGTCACAGTATTATTATAATTATAACACAGCTTACTTAGTCAGCCAGTTTTAAAGGAGCAGTATGGCTTGTTTAATAGTTATCAGAAAAGGAGACTGCACAAAGAAAGAAAGAAAAAAGAGAATGCAAGCAGTCATGTGGAGGACACATCCTTCAACGGAACTTTAATTATTTTATTACAGCTCTTGAAGAAAAAAAAGAAGCTGTGAGACTCTGTTGAGCATATTGCACTAATGACAACTGCTTAGGAAATACAGAGGAGAAAACTGGAAAACAGTCATTAAAAGTTTAAAGATGCTTTTTTTTCTTCCATCTGTTTTGGGGTCTAAAATCCAGAGTGCCTTACAAGAAGCCTAAAAAATGGACAATGCACTGCTACAGTTAATTCAGGTTATTCAGAAAACAATATTTTTTCATTTGTTCAAATCTGATCTGAACGTAGTTATTTTGAGCAGAGGCACTCAAACTGCTGAGGATGTGTAGCTTTGAAAATCTATATGGTCCGAGGGTCCAGATTAGCTAGATGCTGAATGAAGGCAGAAAAAGAAAAGTTTCAATTAAAAAGTATGAGTGACTGGCCACAACAAAAGGAGAAACCCAAGACTTGGAGAAGGCACCACATGCTATTCATTTTCTAAAGTGAATGGAGTCAGCAGGGAGGAGCAGGAGAGCAGGGAGCCGGGAAGGGAAAAGTTCACTTCACTGAACCACTCAATCATCTCTCCATAAGTGACTCTGTCATAATGGGGCTTCCTTTAAAAGCTTGTAAGCATCTGATTTCACGAGGCAGTGTTGACAAGAGACTTAGCTTCAGCTCATCCCAAAGAAAGAAAGAAAAAAAAAAGGATTGCGTTCCTGTGCTTTTAAAATCTAACTCTCAAAACTGGGAGAGCTCACTCAATGCTCTAGATTTCCGTCACCTTTTACTTTATTCACATTTAGTTGTTTTCATTTAATTTTTATTTATTGGTACAATAATAACTTGGTAGGAACTGGGAAGAATACATGAGGTGATGCTTAGGATGAATATTATTAAAAGATTATGTTTATGTTGGATAAGGAGGAAGTGTTTTATTTACATTTTAAATCATCCACAATTATGTTTAGAAACTAAATCTATTCACCAATAGGCAGTTTTACTCTATGTATACATATCATTTCACATGTTGTTTATGACAATGAATGCTGCACTAAATCAAAGGAATAGTGGGGACATTTTTAAGTCGGGTTCTATGGAAAAATCTGTAGTAGCTAGTATCTTACCAGTCAGTGGTAGACAGTCAGCATAAACAGAAAGTTTTCGACAGTTTCAACAGAGTTGATATATTCATTGAATGTATATTTTATAAATCATTAAAATGGCATCATGTTCGACACTTTTTTTATAAGCCTAGAGGTATTGACCATGCCGAATGTCTTTCATCTGTGATGAGCAAATAAATATTTTGTATTTGTGCTAAATCAAAGTAATAAATAAATCATGGGTAACATAACTACTTGCAATAATTTGTAGACTTATTGTAGAGCTTTCATCCATTTATGTCAGGACCCACTGGACTGTGCATGCTGGCTGCAGAATGCAAGAAAGAATAACTGTTTAAACTATTTACAATTATGCCAATAAAATAATTTACAACTCGCCGCCAGCACAGGTCACCTGTTATCTGCTTCAGATGTGGAAGGTTTTATATTCAGTACAGTGTCTCACCTCACACTGCCTCCTGCTGAGCCTGTTGCTCTTTTGATTTCAGATTTTTTCTCTCGTAATTTGTCCACCATTTATCTCCTGCATGTAAAGCCTATGCATCATTAAGATGGATTTCATTCATTAATGTCCATTTGGTACCATAACTTATTTTATCAAACAAATCATCCTGCTGTATTTTTAGTGTTATTGTTGATCAGATTTTTTTATTAAACATATTTTTAACACTTTTGGAACTTTAGTGTGACAGACAATCTGCATGAAAAGATAGATAGCATAGAAGATGGAGTAAGAAGCCATTTATTCTCTGTACTTCCTTTCATCCATTCATCTTGAAGATTTTTATTTTTTTGGGGAAGAGAACAGGTTTATGTGTTCACTGGGGTAATTAGAAAACCCAGCCGCTATGCAACACCTTGGCATTTATTAGACCATACTGGAACAAAAGGTGATGATGAAGGAAAACAAACATCTTGCCAACAGAGGTCGCTCACTGGATGCTACCCTCTTTACATCACATCCTGTAAAGGGGTCACACCACCACTTGTCCTGTTAAACTCAGTTCACACTACACAATTTTTGCCCCGATTTTCCCCTTACGACAATCTTAGAACGTTCAGCGTTCCAAGATCCCAAACAGCTGACATGGCACAACCCAGAGTCCAGTGAACATTGGAGATTATGTTGCGGAAACAACATGAATGTTTATTCAACATTTCATGCGAGGAGTACCCTCAGGAATGATAAGGAGAGGAGTTGGAGAGAAATTGCTACCCTAGTTGATACACCCGGTAACTTTTCAGCTATTCATCATTAACATGACATAAATAGGCTATTAATAAGGCTGTTCATTCAGTCAGGGCTTGACGCTGATACCTACAATTTTGTGTGGTCTCAGGTTTTGAAAATCGGCTGACAATCCCAAAATTGTGTAGTGTGAACTGGGCTTTAGGCAACACAGAACTACGTTTAAAAACATTTCAAAATGTTTGTATTTCATTTCCATCTAAGTTACAAAAATAAAAAATCAACTATATGAATGATATAAATTCATACTGGCAACTTGTGCATAGTTCCAACATCTTATCAGTGACACTTTTAATACCAGAAGTACCAATCCAAACCACATCACACTTTTTGGAGGTTTGCAAGGATCCTTGGTGTTTCTATCAGAACCAAGGATACATGGATTAATGTATGTGTAGACATTAATCCAAACAGATTAATGTCTACACATAAACCAGAAAAAGAAAAAAAAAAAAAACTGGATATGGCTCATACCTATAAAGAGTAAATATAAACATGCTACCAGAATGGTAGCATTAAGATTGGCCTAAACACAATACGTGAAAATTAAATCAAGAACATTTGGTTCATTCTTTTGCTGTCTGTTGAGGAATTTCCCAAGTGAAAAGCACACATCTCCGAGTAACCATCGAGCCACACAACACACTGAGAATCACACCACAGTATGACAAGGCAGAACTGCTGCGTGCAAACACACATCCAATGGAAAAAATGAAACCAAACAAAATCTGAACAACATGTGTTTTACACAAAAGCGTCATTCTTGGAAAAACACTGTGGAGGGTCTGCACAAAGGCAACGCACAGAGGAGAAGCCAGCAATGCCATTTTCTGTGGGGTGGCACAAACGGGCCACACACCAGCCATCCCAGAGGGCCCAAGGCCTGAAAATGTCCCCTGGAATTATTGTCAATGAAACATTTACCATCTCCTTTAAGAAAGATTAGACATTAAACAAAAATTAATACACTTATCAGGCAATATAACTCCATCTAGTGCCACTATTTGTCATACAATAAAAAAAGTGTGCAAGCCAACACCAAAAATGCAAAAGAAGGGGGGGGGGAATATGCCTCTTTGGGATTTTTCCCCTTTGAGTAATGAAAATAAAAATGGCAGGATGAGTTTCAAAAATCTACAAGGCACGCAAAACAAACAAAAAAAACCCAACAACAACAAAGGAGGCGGGTTTTGGTAGAGAGTATCGCTGCATGCTGCTGATGGAGTCAACGAGGGGAAAAGCAAAACTCACCATGGAGTTTTAATGGCAAAACATCCCGCCCCAAAGAGGTAAGGTCTTCATGAGAGAGAGGGAGAGAGAGAGGTGTGGTGGGAGGGTGAAGGGTGTGGGGATACAGAGATAGACGGAAAAGCCATTATTAAACTAGCACACCTGACCAAACACACTTTTCACATTACACACTTTTTGACATGTCTTTTTAAGAGCACATGAGGCAGGAAACAGAATGTCAGAGCACCAAGATGGATCTGAAAACCTGCAGGACAGTTGGAGAATTCATCTGCTACTTTACAGACAGAGCATGTCCACAGTTAGAGGGGTGGAGGTGGAGCGGCACCCTTTTCTTGACATTTGTCACTTTATTTCTTTTCCTTTCATTTGTCTCACTTCACTTTTCATTTTTATGAATTACATTCATTCTCGTAGTCGTGTCAGATCGCATCAGCAAAGATGGGAAAAATTTGGACTGCAGAAAAAGAACAAGTCTGAAGAGTTTACTCAATTTGTATAACAACTGGGGACACCAGTAAAACTAACAGGACTCATACAATGTTGAAACAAGGAGCTGTGTGTTTGCAAGCAGCATCTTTTTTTGGAGCAACTGTATATTTATGGCAGAGCATGGCCTTTTGGAAGATAGGGTGTGGGCAAATGTGTATCCACTGTGAATATGTTAACAAGCATGCAACGTGTGCGTGTGCGTGTGCGCATGTCCAGGAGTCATCCAGAGTTGAGTGTGTCTTTTTCAGGGTACATTGCTGTCCGTCAGTCTGTGAGTGTGTTTCTGATGTTTACAAGACATCAGGAGTGGGAGTGTGTTCCTGTGTTTATTCTGCGCAGCCAGAGATAGTGACAGAGCCCCATAAACAGTTTACAGTAAATAAGTCTCTTTCCCTACAGCAATAAAGATCCAATGAGACTGAACTCTGTCCCCGTGAGCCACCCTCCCCAGTCCTGGAAAAAAAAGGATCCCCCAGCCATCCAAAGCACTCTGCAGCCCTTCTTTATTTTATCGCTCTCATCGCATCCGCCTGGGCCCTCCCAGTGATAGCACACAGTGTCCAATTAGTCCTGGTGCATGAATATGGAGGGAGATGTTCCTCTGGGAGACAGGGAGCAACTTTTTGGCCCTGGAATGTTTTACTCCTGGAGCGCAAGTTGACAAATGAACACAGTGGTTGGGTTAACAGGGACCCCTGGTTTATCTACCCTACTGCTGAGACTACTGACCCCACCGGATCCCCATTTGAGTCTCCAACTGCGAAAATGGAGAGACACCGATGGAAGACATCTATGTGGAAATGGGTCAAATAGGCTTTAGATTGACCCCACATGAACCAGAAAGCCTGAGAAATACATACACTAATACATGCACTGGAAAGTAAATATATGGCAACTGATGGAACAAAGTCATGAAGTGTAAGAAACTCAAACTTCCTATGTTTGTCTTTGAGCATGACTTTCTTCCTGCCACTCTTCAGTTAAATCCAGATTAAAGGGGAGTTGATAGTTGCCATGTCAACTGATTCTCAGACCTGAGGGGTGAATCTCTGCAACCCCCCCAAGCTACCATGGACCTCTCAGCTGTTTTTCTGATTAATTCTGTAATCTGAAATTTTAACATGCTCCTTCTATTTTCTACTGATGGCTTGAAAAAGTTAAGTTTAGCTATTTATACACAGTTTATACACAGGTCTGTCTAAAATGCTCTACACAAAATCAAATAAAAGACTTGAGATGTAAACCTGTGCTCTTTGAGATGCGGAAAGCTTGCGGTACCATTTTAAATGGCTCAACAACTTTGTCGCCTTCCTTTCTGCTGTGTTCTGTTTAAAAAAGAAAGTCTTCATTGTGAACGACTTTACCTCTGTTTTAGCAGAGAACCAGAGGTAGTACTGCTTCTGGTTTTCTCTGCTATTAACAAATGAGCATTTGTCCCTCAGAGGAAGCACAAACCTGTAAGAAGCTCCTAGAAAAAAAAACATAGTCACCCGCCGATGACCAAATGCAGGTAAAAGTATAAAGTGACATGTAAATTTGAGCACCTGCTACTGTGGTGAGTTGGCAATTTGAACAGAAAAAAAAAATCTGCATTCATTTTGAACTCCCGTTCAGGGAAGGATTGGCTGTCTGGTGTATAGACTAATGCACATCTATGGGGAGGCCCGACTGTCATACTTTAACAAAAAAGTATATAATTAAAAATAATTTTCATTGACCAAGAGAGAGACATGACCAGGGGCAGATTGAGGAAGAGGTCTGATGGTGTAAAGAAGATTTTGTCTAATTCAGAAAATAAAAATACTTTTGTTCCATATAAAATGGATGATTTCACTGCATTTGTATTTTATTGGTTATATTTTTTAAAGTTAAATTAGAATCAATTCAAATCAGCATGAGCAGGTCATAGAATACCAAAATCTAACTTTTAGTTTCCAAAAGTACAAAACACATTATATTTCTTAAGCACACATTTCTTGTGCGCTTAAAAACCTAAACCATCTGTAAGTTCTTTCAAATCAAAAGAGCTAATTTTCTCAGAACTTTGAACTGTAAATGTAGTCATTCTGGGAAACGTGTCCATCATTTTTGACTGGCTGATGATGAGTTTACACGTCAGTGTTGACAAAGATGACAAAGTTGACAAAGAGGGTACATCCCTGATGGAGCAGGTTTGTGGAAAAAGACTCAATGTGGTCAGCTTTTAGTAACGGGTGTGAAGACAGCGATTTACTGACAGCAGGCAGAAGGAGGACAGAAAAGAGAGTGTGTTTCTGACCTCTGAGGGCAATGACCCCACTCTCAGAAAATAATCATTCACACATTCAGCTCCTAACCAAATGGCCCTCAGAACAGCGCCTGAGCCATTAAAACATTGAGGGAAGTGAGGTGATTTGTGAAAATGTTTTTCTGCCATGTGGGCATGGCCTTCTTAAAGCCGCTTTTTAGCTCTGGCCTCAGCCAGGCTGTGGAAGACAATGGCTCAGCGCAGTGCTGGCTCTTAAACACGTATTATTGTAAGCTGAGGGCACATCTGTGACAGGTCACAGGGTCTCATTTGTTCTTTTGCTGTCGTATTTCTTGTCACCCCGCCTGCACTTGATATGCATTTGCCTGAAAATGTTATCACAGGGATTTGCTCGATGGTGCTGCTTTGCTTCGCGTGTGACAATCTCTCCATTTAGACTTTCATTGTCTGTGTTAAATTCAGACAGTGTGTAGATGGGATAAGTGTGCTGTACTGTGTGTGCAAATCCAACATGTGACCCTGAATGGAATTTTGACAAGTAAATCTTTCATTATTAGACTGCGTTGTCTGTCAAGCGTCCTGTCGATATTACTCTCACCAGGAGAGACTCCTGCTCATTGTTCTGAGACTGAACTAACGGCGATTCAAGCTTTAGGTAAAACTAACAGAAAACATGAGGCCGGGTCGCAGCTAGACACCTCATACTTTGGAACTTCAAGCGAACTGTGAGGACTAGCAGATGCTTGGCTGCGTTCCTCTGCTGCCTGACACGGCCTCGTCTGCAGCAGGGTTATCAGGCGGATGCTGAGCCACATCCGACTCTACCTCCCTGCTCTGACACGGGGTGAGCACAAAAACTACATCAAAAGACGAGCGTGCTCTATGTGAACTTGTGGAGGGTTTCTTTCATGTCAGAATCCGAGGACAAACAGCAGCATCTCCGGTACATTGGTGGTCTCTGGGACCGCCAATATCTATTAAGAGATCCCTGCAGCCTGCCTGGTCACACAAAAAAGAGGGTGAAGGTTTCCACAGATTGTGTGTTGGTGTTTGTGTGTCATGGCACAGTGAAGTGCACACATGGCCGACGTTGAAGGGAATTTAGGTTAAGCAGCTGGTGTGTTCCTCTGCTCCCCTGCCAACAGGGATCTGCTCATACAGGTGTAAATACAGCTGCTGGACGCTACTTTCCCTGCCTCACTGTGTCCCATACAAATACACACACACACCCACACCCGCATGCGTACACACACACACATACAGGCAGGAAAAAGAACCAGAGCTTGGCTGCACAGACAGATGGTGCTTGGGTACTCCTGTACAAGTATAGCGTAAAAGCATATGATATCACCCCCCACTCTTGGGGCTGAACCTGCTGCCTCACTCACAGCGAGTGTGTCGGTGTGCTGGCCTGGCCATGTGCATACAGGAGCAGGCCACACAGCTGCGTGTCCTGATGCATTAATGCTGACGTCTCCTTCGGACTGAATGAAAGGATGAACCTTTAGGGAGGCAGACTACCAGGCTTCAATAATGGCACACAGAGCCAACACGGCTGTCTGAGGTGTTTCGTGAGCAGGAAGGCCACGAAACACCTCATGGGAAATACATGGAGGAATTAAACACAAACAAAGAGGATCGATCATATTCTTAACATAGCCATTAACAGCTTGAAAATTCTTCAAACAATAAATAAGAAAGTAGATCCGACCCTCACGTATCAGATTGGGTGGTGACCAGTGTCAGACAGCTGTCGGTGTGATGTCTGATTTTATGTCAGTCGCAGACCCAGCAACCAAGTTCTGTTCAGCAAATTTGTAAAGGTTCTGATGCATTATCTTGTACCAGGCTTGCAAAACTATACCATAGATAACTTATAGGGATCCAACAATCCCCCTCCTGTTAATTTTTCAGCTTAGAGATAAAGGGAGACTCCATCAGTAGCATAAAGAGCAGATGAAGCTCTTGGCATTAGAGTGTATGAGGTTTGAAGCCAAACATCACATTTCATTCTGTATGTTTATGTCCTGCACTACTACCCAGAACTGCATTGAAAAATGCTGAATATCAAAACAGTGAGCAAACATGCTACTTTTAGCCTAGGCTAGCATTTAGGTTAACACCGCAGTATGTTTTCAAATCTGACATATTGAAAGGTATGAGAAAGCTATAGCTGCTGTAGATTACGCATTACCACTACTTTATAGCAGATATCTGATTGGTTTTGTTGTTGTGGAATATTGAGGAGATTCCATAGAAACCTAGGAGCATGGTAAATAGGTAAAGTGAGACACAAACAGAATACCAATGTGGACCATGCAATACTGATTGACTGTAGTATGATTTCACTCCATACGAAAGCTGCTTAATATGTTATAGGTTTGGAATTTATTTCTGACAAACGACTAATCCCGGAATGTATCAGACCTTTATCAGGGACAAAACAAGCCTTGGCTGACACACTCCTGTCTGAGTGGATCTAAAACTTACACAAACCTGTGAAAATTATATTTTATGAAATGGCAGCAATGAGTTAACTAGAGGTGTGTCGATCGATCGGCCACTGATCATAATCGTCCGATTTCCATGAAAGAGAGTTATGACCAGTGATCGCAGACCACTGTCTTTTGTTGTCAATCACCAAAACCGATCACCTGTGTCACTCTTCGCAGCCTGCCTGTGCAGCTATCTCTACTTTAACGGTCAGAGTGAATGGGGAAGTTTGCGTGTTGCACCAGAGAAATAACTTGGGGAAGAAGTACATCAAAATGCATCAGCACAACAAATATAATATGACATTTAAAAACAGGCACTTGACGGAGTTTGGCTATATCGAGACTCACTGCAGGAAAAAAAAAGAGACATCTGGAGCAGCTGGACAGAACTGTTCTCACTGTGGGATCGCTACGCTACTGGTAGTAATATTTCACAGACGGAGCACCATTTCTGCTCCACCCAGCAGTGAACTCACACTGAACGTCTGCTTAAAGCTGCAGCATGTAACTTAAGAAAAAAAAAAAAAAAATCATATGTAGTCAAACTTTCGCTGTCCTCCTGACATAAGACAATAAGGCAGGTAATGTCTGAAAAATAACAGCTAATTCAGGTGATCGGCAGTGATCGGCCCCAATGGGTGATTGGAATCAGAATCGGCAGCAAAAAACCTGATAGGAGCGTCCCTAGTTAAGACAGACTCATGAAATAGATTTCTTTTAAAAAAAATTATGCAAAAGGCAGTCTTACACAAAAGGAATAAAACTATGATGAAGTAAAGGTTCTTCACAGGAACATTTAGATAAAATGAGTGATGGAAGCAAAAACAAAAAAGTCATTTTCATTTTAAAGAAGACAACATTTATTAATTGTGACTTTTGGTCAAAGTCGCAATCAAGACATCCAAAAGTTTGTAAAACCTTAAGGAGTCACATGATGTGACTTCTTACTTCAGTTCTTGTTTTCTGAAGAAATCTTCTTCTTCTATTATATCAAATGATCTGTTTTATAATTTTGTAGACTTTACCATAACATAAATAAATAGAATTCAGCCTGGCAGAGATAGTGTCAAAGCAACTCTGTAAAATAATAAAAAATATTGTGATAATCTTCTTTTCTCTACATTAACCTCCAAATGTGAAGACCAGTGTGGAAAAAACATGAGAAAATTAAAACATGTTTAATGGGGCAGAAAGGCAGACATTCAGAAATGACCTAAAGTAAGAAAAGAAATAACTGACACTTTTCCATTCAGGATGTTCATGTTGTTGTGTTCAAATATTTACTGTGAGAGAGACAAACAGCTCTCTGAGGAAATTAAATATAATAAAAAAAATTGCTGTGAAAAAAAAGAGAGTATGAGCTCTTGTAACATCAAGGAGAAAAGCAGAAAATGAAAATGTGTTGAGTACTGAGACACATTCATGATGATCTTAGAATATTAGGAATTCACCTCTACTTTATCAGTAGACAGCAATGCATCGGTACAATTATATTGAACCACAATATTACTGATTTACTAGAGAATGGTCTAAATTTAGGAATAATTTTTATGACAACAAAGAGCTTGTCTTACTTACATTTGCACATTTGCTGCAAATTCAAATGAAGTAAAGGGACATTAGGTACTAAACAACAACAAACCAAACCAGTCAGTCAAAAAAATAAACAAATCTAAACTATTTTACCTGGCAATCAACCCCAGTTGAAATAAGAAAAAAAAGTACTTAATTGATCAGTTTTTAGTAAGTTGTTGAAACTGAAACTAATTTGAAATAAAATAATTTATATTATTTTCTTTAAATTTGTATCATATTATTATCAAATGCAATTTTATTTCCTATTTTATCTTTTATCAATTAGTGACGCTGTAAATATTGTGAAGGGCTTTGGTCAGTTGAGTTTGCTGCAATGGTGCAATATGAATTCACTTTGATTGACTTAAAAAAAAACCTCCAGTAAGTTTACAACACAGTCTGCAGTCTTAGCTATGTAATACAGCATGATATGGACTTTAAAATATTTTAAAATTAACAATATCATAAAGATACATAAATAAATCTGTAAAACTTTGACTTTAAATCTAAGAGAAAATTAGTTTCTTTTTTTCAAAATCCTAAATGAAACCCGCCCACTTTGTATGGCGTTAAAACAACTCGGGAAACCAAATGTAAACCACTGCTATCAAGATCACATAAACATACAAAGCAGACACCACAGCACCTCAAACACAATAATTACTTTTACATAGCAAATAAATTTACAGGCTGGCCTAATGATTTAGAAAAAAGCCCTGATGCTGTTTATGGTGACCGCAGGATCAGGATTTTATTTTCATCCTCAAAGCTTACTTATCAAATATCACAGGAAAATAAATCCTCCACCATCTGCTGGGATCATTATAGCATTTCCCATTCAAACAGGGCATGAAAATGACATTTAAATGAAAAATATTAAAATCTGTCTATATTTGTAGAGCCACCTGTACTGTATGTAAATGTACTTAGCAAAGGCCTATACTTGCAGAAGGTCTTAAAGCTACATCATTTCAATGTATGGCAAAGATCCAGGAATTAACAAACGGCAGAGGGAAGAGAAAGCCATCCAAACCAGTTTCAGTCAGAACATACAGATTTACACAGCATTTGTTATCCAAGTCAAATTTTACTCAGAATGATCTCAAGGATTGGTTCATTTTCTTACAGTCTGTGTCTTGTTTTGTCTGTCTTCTAAATAGCCCAGAATGAGTTTCACATGTATGCTGTGCTTCATTAACCTATGCAAAAAAAGAAAAAGAAAAAGAAAAAAAAAAAATAGGTAGCCAGAGACGAAACAAATCAATGAGCATGAGCTGAATGTGCAGGAGAAGCTCTGGAGAGCAGAACAACTGTGGACAAAGCAGGACTGTTTTTACTGGGAGGGAAGCATCACCTGCAGGCCGGTGCTGGGATGGAAGTTCTGCTTTAGCATAGCCAGCCTGTGCATCAAGAGGAGGCTGTTACTTAGCCATTAAACGCTTTAAAATCAAACCCTGGAGACAATAATTTCTAAGGTATCAGTGTTTTATTACCCAGTAATGCATTAGGGTTGGCTAGTTGTATCCATCAATCGATGAATACATATGTTTTCTCAATATGCACATGCAGAGTAAAAGCAGTGAAAAATGAAAGATGTATGCTCTGAGGAATCTTCCAGTGCAATGCAGACTTTCTTTGATGCTGCCGGTCGAATATTTTGTTGGCTGGGTTGTTTTGGATCGTGATCATTAAGAACAAAATGAGAGAATTTTGTGAAAGCTCTACACAAACTTAGTGTGTTTCACTTTTGATGAATAGGACAGGTTTGAGCAAATTATTCAAACTAATATTTTCAACAGCAAAACAACACTTCATTGTTCAGGGCACGGCAAAAGCTGGAGAATAACCTAACAAAAATGTTTTGATTTTAATTTGATAACACAGGGGTGTCCAAAATGGAGCCCAGGGGCCTTTTGTGGCCCTCAGAAGGATTTCGTGGGGCCCATGCCCAGTAAAATAATTCAAAACATGAACAAAAACTGAACACCTAAGTAACCATAACAACGTCAAACCAGACCTGTAAGTGTTACCTGTAAGAAATTTACTTAAGTGAGGCAACAGTGTATGCTGGACCTGCTTCCTGTGGGGTATGCCGAGGTTTGTGTGCGTGTGTGTATGTGTGTGTATATGGTGCCTACCCAGTGCGCTTGGTGATGGTGCCCAGCGTCATGGGCTGCTTGATCTGAGCCAGAGGCAGCACCACGGTGAGGCTGGGCAGCGGCGTGAGCCGAGGGTTCCCCATGTTGTTGTTGGTGAAGTTGTTGTATGAATCCTGGTTGCTCAGCTTGGCTGCAAGACACACATGCAGAAAATTAGCCAAAACGATTCCAACTGGACGGTTGCTGAACAAAGAATGCAGAGACAAAGATCTCAGAGAAATGTTTTGATTCGTTTTAGAGGAGAAGGGAATAAATAAACAGAGTCAAATGAATGCTGGAAACCTTTAATCCATTATTCATCCTGCAGTATGTTTTCAGTTCAGCTGCCTTTTCAGATGCTAATATTCAAATCTGATCACTTAGACTCAAATTTAAAACGTCATCTGACATCACTTCAAACCACACCACCAGAAAACCTTCTTTGAAGTCAGCCCACCTTCCTCTGCCTCGCCTGAATCCTGGGATATTTGTTTTCCCCACTTGCTCCCTCACAAACACACAACCCCAGGTTCAAGGCCTCCCTTGGAACGACTGGAAATAACCAGCTCAAGATGCTATATTACAAAGACTCTGCTTGTAAGCCCGGCAGTCTCTTAATCAAGGCCAATCAACAGGCTCTCTGCACACTGGTGCAACCCACATGCATGCACATATGGGAAAACACATCACAAAGACAGATGATCCAGAGAATCACATCTCAACTCCCATATGCCGAAGAGCTGGAGTCAAACCTAATCAGGCCATGTCAAAGGCCTAATGATCCTAACCAGCTCCATCACTGCAGCAGAGTGAGGCTGCTAGTCCACTTACTGTTTATTACACTCTTTTACTGTCTGACTGCAGACATTCAGCAAGCCTTCACCTTACTGGGCAGAAGGAAACATGGAACACTTGATATCCGGCATAAAACAGCCAGAGATCACACAGAGAAAAAATCGTGTTTAATTTAACACCAACTACAGTACAAATACATAATTTAATTTAAATATTACTGTATGTTTGAGACTATAAATTGCGTTAGTCAAAAAAATGCATAATGAAAAGAAGAGTCGTACTACAGCGCAAGTTTATTTATTTGGAAATTGTCCAACATGAGGCCTTGTCCATGTTAATGTGATCTGTTTTGGATCCAGATTGTCCCGGTGATATTCAGTTGTTTTTCAACAAACTTACAGAAACTGGGTGTTCTGATGTGTTCTAAATCAGAGCGGTCAGAAACGACTGGTCTTCGCCGGTGAAGTGCACAGCTGAGCTGAGACGCATGCAGAGTAAATCCAGGATGGTAGAGGGGCAGTTGAATAGCATGAGGCAGCAACACCAAGAAGATCTGTCTGCAAAGTCAGTTCATCCAACTAGTTAACCACCAGAGCGTGGAGACATAACGGCACCGTTTATAAGCCTCAACAAGTGTTGTAGCAATTTCAAATGTAGCACAGATAGATAGACAGCTACGGTAGGAAAATCTGATGGTCAGAACGCCGTCAGCACCTGGTGGATTTGTTCCTCCAGCTAGCATGCTTTTGGTTTTCTCGCAGCTGCAGACGATAATATTTAATCCACGGTTTGTGTCTGTCACTATGAATTAACATATAGCTCATCAGTCAAACAGAAATTAAATGTTTCATTCGCAATAAAAAAAAAAAAGCAGCAAAACGAGTTGTTCTAAAACATGCCTCAGAGGAGGGGTAGGAAGGGTAAAGGACAAGTCTGTGGAGCTACAATAACCAGGAATTCAGACCAAAGCACTGCAGTTCTACTTTATATAGGCCACAAGTGAATGATTTACATGTGAAAAGGAAGGATTTACAAGCATGATACATCCACTTTAAGTCACTTTTGATAATTGAGGCATTTTGTATAACTGAGGGTAACATTTACTTGACTGTACTATAAAATGACAATATGTACCTACGAAATACTCCCTCTAAATATTAAAAATTGAATTATTTTGCCCTCTCTACAAAAATATTTTGTAGAAAACAATATTTTAAAAACAGATCAGTAAATGCAACAGTGCAGAACCAGAAAGAAGACTTTTTTTTTACCCTGAGACCCCCTCCCAAAAATCAAGGGAAACGAACAGAAGTGGAGAACAATGCCTTGTGTTTACCATTTTTCTTGTGGTAAATGTAAGGTTGCATACAAAAAAAAAGACAACAACAAAAAAACAATTACATCTAAACAGACACATTAAACTGCAGCTGTATGGACATGTGGATTATATGACAAATATGTTTGTAATCCTGTGACAACAGTAAGAACAAAAAAAAAGTGTATACTACTGACAGCCCAAGGAAAATTCCAAGTTCAAGTGCTTTCAAAAGAAATAAAGAGCAAACCAGCGGGCGCAGCACAATACGCTCTCTGAATGTTTTCCTTGTTCCATTTGTTGCCTTAATAGATGAGTGACAGCCACGTAACATAAAGCAATGAAAAGCAGGAAGGGGGTACGTGAAGACAAAGAAAACAAGGCCCACATCAAACGCAACAATAAAGGTAAAGCAGCGGAGAGCCTCGTCATTATCTGGAAGGAGCGATCAAGAGGAGGCTGAATGTGAGCGGAAAGGGAACGCTGAGTGTTTTGGTCCAGTCTTTTAGATCATTAACGTGTAGCTCTGAGTTTCATTAGTCCTGCCAAAGCTCTGCTTTGTGGTCCTCCATTGGTCTGTCTTTTAGACCTATGCCAGCCAACAATGCTGCATGACCTTCGCAGGGAGAGAGAAGACCATTACACAAACCTGTCCTTCATTTCCCCCAGACCCCCTAGCCCCCCACCACTCCTCTCCTGGTCGACTAACAGCGGCCTGTACCGGGGCAGCTCCTGAAAGCCCTTCACATTTCAAAAGCGCTACACCCCCAGAGCCTGGGCAGCCACCTTTTGTGTTGAAGGAAGGGGAGCAGATGAGGAAAAAAAATCATCTGCACAGGAAGCAGTCTGAAAAGCCATAATGGTGCTTGAGCTGAGAGAGGAGTGGAGCATGAGGATTTGGGGTGGGGGTGTCAATGAATTTCACATCCAAAACAGACTTTCACTTTTGCCCCGTTGCTTAGTTTGTCCTCAGCCCCCCCGCAGACCCCTGCGGACTGTGGCCTGGATTGTAGAACAGGTGTGGACGGACTGAGACAGCGTGGCGCTGAGCGCTGCCGGCCAGACAGCCGCAGCCAGCGTCACTGAAGGCCAAGAGGTCACGACCCTCCAGACAGTGAAGACATGTTGCAGATCACGCTGTCAGAAGATGGTACATGGACATGCATGTATCTGTGCCTGTGCGTAAGCGGTAAAACATCGACATTCTGCATGTAATTTATGAAACTTTAATGAAACAATGAGACAGAATTTAGCATGGATTCTGTTGGTACTAGGTAAATTATACAGCAAAAAATGGATTTATTGGAATGCTTTTTACACGTTTACTCAGAGTGAAACATAAATAAAACAGCATAAATGACTTTCTGCTACCAGAAAAAAACTATAAACGCATCAATAAAATTCTCTGGTGACCAAGATAAGCCAGTTTTCAGCTTTTCTAGCCAGAACACTGACTGAAAATGACTCAAACGGTTTAATTAGAAATTGAACACAATGGAAGACTTTTTAACAAATTCTAATCTAGTAATAAACTTCCTGTTTACTAGAAAGTACACCTGAAACCAGTAAATGGAAACTAAAATCAAAAAATTATTTTCTTTTATCTTTAATTGAACTAATTTTCTTTCCAGACTTAATGAGTGGATAAATATGTGGGGGAACATGTCCAATCAAACTCAATGTTGAAGCTGTTAAAAACCTGCTTCCTTATCGCCCAGCTACCTGAGCGTGATTCAAAGTCTGAAATGAAAGCCACCTGTGTGAGGAGCCGGCCACAGCGAGGCGAGGAAGATCACAGCCACAGCCAAGACAAAGGCAGAGAGTGAGAGGCAGATAGCTGAGAAGCCGACAGACAGCTCCAGACAGAGGCTGGGATTTGATTAATGACCAGGGCGTGATGTGCCCAGGCTCTGATACATGACATCTCCATGGAAAGAAGATCCATCAATGCAAATCCAGCTCCGTCACAGTCGCACAGAGAAAAACTCTGACTCTGCTAAAAGAAAGTCGCATCAACACCTGACCCTCGCCTTCCTTTCTCAACTAATCCATCCGTCCGTCCAGCTCTCCTCCATCCGTCCCTCCCTGTTTCAACAGCATTTGCATTCTCTTCTCGCTTTAAGCCTCTCTCTCTATCTCCTTTGCGCTCTTTCCCTCTCCTCAGCCTCACCATGTCACGCTATCTCATGTTTCTATCCCCTCTTTTAATACCCAATTTGCATCCAATACAAGCAGGCTGCTTCCACTGAGGAGTCGATGTGCGAAAGGACAAGCTGTGAAGCCCTCGCAAACACTGTGTCTTATTTGAATCGTTCTGCCTGAGAGCAGATTTCAGTTCAAGGAAAAATCAGGGTAAGCTGGAGTGGAGAGGACGGGGGTGTGAGGAGGCAGCAGGTTGGGCAGGTGACATGTTGACTGATGCTCCGCGATTCAGGACATGCAGAGGATCCTGCAGCTGGGAGGCAGAGGTGAAGCGTGGGAAAGGAATCTAGAGTTCAGCATGCAGGCTGGGGAATACTTTTATAGCTCTGTTTTCCTTCTTTGAAGATGACATTTTGAAGTTGCCGTTTTTATCTCTGTCCGTTTTAAGGCCAAAGGCATAAAATGTATCGCTTAATGTGAATCCCAGAAAAGCAAACTAAACAAATAATCAAAGAGATGAAACTTTGTGAGTTAAATGATGCAGTGGGTGACATTTGGATCCACAACTAAAACAAGTGTTGTAGAAATGATGTCTGGTTGAGCAGTTTCACCAAGTGAAAACTGCTTTTAAATGGAAAGTAAGTGAGTTTTCCAATGGAACAGATTGTTTCTACACAGAAGTTTCATGTGTATCAATCAGGCCAATCCTGACAAAGAAAGAGGAGACACACGCCCCACTGATGAAGCAAAGTAAAGTGATTAGCATGTCCTAACAAAAACACAGGACACAGCAGATTACTGAAAGGCCATGTGTGTCTAAACTATGCACTACACTAAATCATGTGAAAAATGTAAAACATGTCTGCCCAGAAATACTTGAGGATCAGTCAGAATGTTGC